TTCTCAGGCCAAAACACCTAGGCCACTAAGTATATTTAGAAGTGAGATGGACAGCTCTGAATCCTATGGTTCACGGTTTATTTAGGGAGATATTGGCCCAAGCAGCATGTTACTACAGTACATAGTAAAATAAATAGAAATAAACTGTTTATAATATTCAAAGAAAAGGCTCAGCAAATAAATAATGAGAACTAGCTTCATAAGTTAATTAAAATGTTAACCTGCCCTTCCTGCCAAAGGACCCCAGAGCAACAAGATTTGTGAACTTTCCAGAAGTTTGAAGAATTATATATCAGGGAGCAACTGCATTTGCTCTGGGTTCATCCATGTTCAGACAGCAACACATCAAATTCAAATTATAGCTGCAGGTTTCAGGAATAGATACTTGGTTATTTTTAGCTGACTTTGCTGTGGTTTCCTCAAGTGTGTACATGAGTGTTTTACAGACACTTATCTGTTGTTTATGCATTATGTATTTGCCAAGAAACACTGTTAGGTCTGCAATATATACACTTGCCATGCAATGTTCAAAGTGGTCCTTTGTCTTTCAGCGGTCTGCTCCTAATCTAGATGCAGAAAATAACTGTCCATGAAACTATGCCAGCTATTTTTTAAATTTTAGTTAATATTACTAGATGTAAATGATACCATATGTTAACAATTTTTTGTTCAGATGTATATTTGTTGATCTTAGTAGAATAATAAAATTTAGAGTTGGAAGGGACCCTAAGGATCATCTAGTCCAACCCCCCTGCAATGCAGGAATATGCAGCTATCCCATATGGGGATGAAATCTGCAACCTTGGCATTATCAGGACCACGCTTTAACCAACTGAACTATCCATGCTGACTTTCAACTCTTGTAGTAAGCTGCTTGCAACTCCACAGCCCAGTCTGAATTCATAAAGCAACTCAGGCCTTTAATCTTGACAGACCAGGAAAAATACAAACTGAACCTAGTGAGAGAAGTTATAGTTGTAAGCCAAGTCCTGATGGCTTGTAGTTCCAAATGTAGGCCTTGAAGGTTTCTATGTGAATGATTAGCAGTTCCACCCCACTCACACACCTCTGGTCAACATGACCCACAATAGGGTTAGTAATTCTGGACAATTTATTATTTTTCAGATGGACCCATATAGTTGGACTGCGGCTGAAAAATTCTGGGAAAATGGGATTCTCCTCTAGGCATGATTTTAACTGAAACCAAGTTTAAAAAATAGGTTATTTGATTCATTGCTCAAGTAAAAGCTCTTAAAAGTGATATCACTTTCAATATCTGGGGAATAATAAGTCTGCCTCTTGTCAATTTATCATAAACAGATATCTTAAAATAAAGCCTATTTTTAAAATTATGTTTCATTCTTTCATGGATTACTAATGATTCAAACTATTTTGGACTATTGCCCTCAAATGTAGGTTGGTGCCCTGGATATTTGTCTGTTCAGAGACAATGTGTCCTGGTGGTGTTTACAAAGCCTTCCTTTTTCTGGAAAGGGGGTTTGGGTGGGTTACACATCCACCATTGCACAATGTTTCTCTAAATAATATAGCCAAAGTAAAAAATGATGAATTTGTTTTGTAATGTTGACTACTCTGTATTTGGTAAATATGGGAACAATTTGTTAAAGACAGCTCATGTCTGTGCAAATGCAGCTCTAGTAACATGTTTTCAACGTTTATTTTAGGTTTGTTCTCTCATAACTCTTGCTTTCCATAGGACGCATTTAATATGTAAAGAATGCACTGCGACATTCAGAAAAAATACTAGTTCCCTTTATAGAGGACTAGTTACTAATAAATTTGTTTGCCATTAAGGGGTGAGAAACAATTACTGCTTTAATCTTAATTTTTTAGAATTGTGGTTGGTGGAAGCAGAGATTTAAGCAACTAGGTGCCTCTTTATTTCACAGAGGAAAGTAGCTGCACTAGGGTGGTTGGGTATAAACTAGCTTGCTGCAAAACTGCTCTATATTTAGATTACAGGCCTTAATTTAGAACAAAGAAAAGAATAGAATGAAGATCCCACCATTTCCATGGCCAAGCCTCCCAGACTAATGTAACTATTTCATCTGTCTGCCATGCAAAAGACTAGAAAAAATGATGCAGAAATGTTTTTAAAAACTAGTTATTAATCCAGTGTCTTTTTTTATCAATTTCAAATAAATGACCTTTAGTACATTAACATCTGAATAGAATTAAACATAATCAGAGTTGAAAGTTGGTCTGAGTTTAAACAGATTATTTTATAAAAAGGCATGAAGGATATATTGAGGCTTAAATAAACAGAGATCATATAATACAGCCAAGACAACCATATTTTGTTAATTAATAGCTTATTCCTACACTATTATGTCTGAGAAAAATGAATTAATGTATTTCTCAGAGACTAGGGGCTCATAGAACACTCTCTATAGTTTGCTCACTTTTCAATATTCTTTTATAGCTTTTTACAAAAGTAGTCATGGAGGGCCAAACAGATCCTGAAAACCCCTAATTAGTTTGTGCCCTTTCACAACTCTTCAAAGCCACTGCCACTCCCTTTCATATCACCTGCACTT